AAGAAATAAAAGGCATGAATATCTAAAAGGACAAAAAAGAATCTGTCCCTATTTGTAGTTGACATTACTGTGTACATAGAAAATTTCAAGAAATCGCAAAAATATCTCAAAGAATTAATAAGTGAGGAGTTCAGCAAAGTTACAGGATACAAAATCAACACAGAAAAATCGATGTATTTCTATAAGTCAATAACACAAGTAGAACTCAACATCAAAAATATAAGATGTCATTTAATTGCAACAAAGAAAATGAAATAGTTGTAAGTCTAACATAATATGTGTGGGATTTCAATGCACAAAATTATGAACTACTGATGAATAAAATCAAAGAAGACCTAACTAAATGAAAATACACACAATGTTCATGAATCAGAAGACCTAACATAATAAAGGTGTTAATTCTCCCCAAATAGATAGATCTATGAATTTAGTGCAATTTCTATCAAACTTCAGCAATGGTTTTTGTAGACATAAACAAGTTTAACTTAAGTGGAAAAGCACAGCTCATAAAATAGCTAAAAACAATTCTGAAGAAGAATAAAGTAAGAAGATATTAAAGCCCACTACATAATAATCCAAGACAGTGAAGTATTGGCAGAGGGATAGACACAGAAGAGTGAAAAGAATAGAGAACTCAAAAATAGTCTACACTAATATACCCAACTCATTTTTGACTAAGGTGTGAAAGCAATTCAGTAGACAAAGGATAGCCTTTTCAATAAACCGTGTTGGAGAGATTCGGCATCTATATAAAAAAAAAATGATCCTCCACCTAAATCTCCCACCTTCTACAAAAATTAACTCAAAATGGATCACAAGTTTAAATGTGGTAAAATATCAAACTTTTATTTAAAAGCACAGGAGAAAGCTTCCAGGAATTAGGGCTAGACAAATAGTTCTTAGACACGACATCAAAAGCACAATCCATAAAGAGAGAGACTGATAAATGGACTTCATCAAAAATAAAACTTTTGCTCTGAATAAACCTTGTTAAGAAGACGAAAAGACATGCTACAGACTGGTCGAAAATATTTGCAAACAAACAATCCAATTAGAAAATGGGCAAAAGATATGAATAGACATTTCACTGCAGAAGATACGCAGATGGCAAATAAAGCACATGAAAACATGTTCAACATCATTAGCCATTAGGGAAATGACAATGAAAATCACAAGGATATATTGCTACACACCTAGAAGAGTGGCTAACTGATATCACCAAATGCCAATGAGGATGCAGAGAAACTGGAACACTCATACATTACTGGTGGGAATGTAAAATGAAAATGAGTATGGAAGTTGATTAAAAGGCTAAACATAAGCAAACCACAGGACCCAGCAATTGCACTCAGTTTTAGCAACTGAACAATGAAAACTTACGTTCACAAAAAATTTTGTATATAAATTCATTCAGCAGCTTTATTCATAATAGCTCCAAACTAGCAACAATACGTAAGTCCTTTGACAAGTGAATGGCTAAAAACATTGCAGTGCATTCATAGCATGGTAATAAAAACCACTTGGTAATAAAAACAAACAAATTATTGATACATGTAACAACTTGAATGGATCTCAAGGAATTATGCTGAGTAAAAAAAGCCAGTCTCAGAAAGGTTACATATTTTATGATTCTATGTACATAAGATTCTTGAAAATAAAATGATAAAATCATAGAAATAGAGAACAGATTAGTGGTTGCCATGGGAAGTGGCTATAGTTATGAAAGGTAGCATCAGTGATCCTTATTGTGGAATTGTTTTGCATTTTGACTGTGGTGGAGTCTTATGAATCCATACTTATGACAAAATTGCATAGAACTAAACAAACACAAATGAATATCCATCAATCTAAAGAAGGTATACAGACTGTATTAATATAAATTTCCTGCTCGTGATATCGTACTACAGTTATGCAAGATGTTAGAAAAACTGGGTATATTATTTCTGTATTACTATTCTGTATTATATCTTACAACTATGTGTGAATTTATAATTATTTCTAATTTAAAGGTTTAAAACATAGATCTTTAGAGATTTTTAGTGGTAATCATGAGGTTTTTCTCTACTGGTTTATATTACTAGATTTTTGATGATGAACTACCCATCACATTCTAGAATAAAGCCCAATGGCCTATGGCACTTTCATTTTTCTCTGTACTGCTGGATTTGATTGATTTGATCTTCTAATATGGTTTAGGATGTTTTACATCCATATGCACGGATTAAACCGTGTTTTGTTTTTGTGTTGTACTAGCTTTGCAAAAATAACTGGGAAACTTTCTTTTTTTTTGTGTTCTGATTAGTTTATATACTTTGAAACATTTTTTAAAAATTCAACCATAATAACATCTGGACCTATAGCATTTCATGAGGTAATTCCTTGAAAACAGTTCCAATTTCTTCCATGTTTATTTTTATATTCAATTTTTCAACTTTTTCATCCAATTTTGTCATTTTATATTTTCTTAGATTCTTCAATATTTCCAAATGTATTAGTATGAATTTACATTTGACATTCAATAATAGTTTTATATCATCTTTTTATGTGGTAATAGATTATATCTCAATTCCATCACACTCTAACTAAAACTTGTGTGTTCTTGTATTTTCAATTTTAGTTTTTCCATGTGACTTCTAAAATCACTTGACACCATTTTGGGGTAAGTAGTCTTGTAGAGTTCTTAATTATAGTAACACACTGACCAACAACACCATGTACGTATATAAAAATAGATAGAGAAACAGATATATTTATATACTTGTCACTGTCTACCACAATAAATTCTAACTGGATAAAAACTTGGAATAGAGAAAAAATATGAAGAAGAAGTTAAAAAGTTTTTGTAGAAATGCAATTTACTTGAACTCTAGTTGGGGGCTTTTCTAAGCATCAAAACAAAGGAGAAAACAAAAGAAAGATTGCACATTTAAATGAACCAAAAAGTTCTAAAATATATGTATATTAAAACAATGTAGACATTTCAACAAATCACACTGGAAAAAATAGACATCTATACACCCCAAAAGTAAACTTTATCCATATATCTCAACATTGGAAAAAATTAACTCAAACTGTATTATAGTCTTAAATGTGAAATGTATAAAAATTACACAACTTTCAGAAGAAAATACAGGAGAAAATCCTGTGATTATTTTAGACAAAGATTTCTTAGATACAACAGTAAAATCGCTACCTAAAAAAGAAAACAATACCTGAGAAATTGGAGTTCATCAAAATTAAAAACTTTCTCTGTCTACAAGATCCTTTTTGTAGAAAAAAAGGACAAGCCACATATTGGGAGAAAATATTTTTAAAATATGCATATGAAAAAAGACTAAGTATTAGAATATAAAGAAGTTTCAAAACTCAATAATAAGAAAACAAGAAAAAAAACAATTAACAATGGGAAAAATATTTGAATAAACACTTCACTACAGAGACCGATAGATGGCAAATAAGCCCGTGGAAAGATGCTCAAAGTCACTAATGATTAGGACATATCAATTAAAACTACAATGAGATACCACTACATACATATTAGAATGGCTAAAATTTAAAAAACTGATCATTGTAATTGTTGAGGAGGATGTGGAGGAACTAGAACTCTCACACTCTGCTGTTGCAAATGTAAAAGTTATACAAGTATTTAAAATATTTCGCATTTTTAAAATAAAGGTAAACAAATTCTTGTCATATGTTGCAGCCATCTTTTCTAGGTGTTTATGAAATAAAATGACAATGGAGACGTAAGTCCACAAAAAACTTGTACATAAATGTTCATCCCGGTTTACTTGTAACAGCCCAAATCTGGAAACAACCCAAATATCCATCCTGTTTTATGGATAAACAAAATGCAGTGTATTCATACAATGGAAATCTATTCAATTATAAAGAATCGTGGACTCTTCACATATTTGCAACAATATAGATGTTTCTCAAATCATTATGTGTATTCATACTGTATGCCTAACATTTAAGTCATCCCTCAGAACTGTTCTGTTGATAATGATTCTCAGATTAAAATTGCCAAGTGAATAAAATCAGCATTCCTGGGTAGAAATCAGTTTTGTGACCCTCTACAGTCTGGAAATGCTCTCCCTCTTACCAAGCTCTTTTCTCCTGATACTGCTTTATTCCTCTGAACCAAATTTTCCTTTCTGCTTAAGTCACCCTTGAAATATATTTTTCTGTCCATGGACAACTCTACATTTTCATTCTTAGCAGAACAAATGTCCTAGTTTCAATATCTTTCTTCAAAAAATATCGTGTTTAAAATCAAGCAGTTCGAGTTTCTCCATGTGAAATCACTTATTGTAAATACACTTGGCCTTTTGTATCTGAGGCTTCTGCATCCATGGATTCTGTATCTGCGGGTTCAACCAACCCCAGAGGGGAAACACAGTGTTGAAGTGTTGGGACCCACAGATATGGAGGGCCAAATTTTCCTATCTGTGGGTTTCAAAGAACTCACTATGGGATGTGAACATTCATGGATTTTAGTGTCAGTGGAGTTAGGAGGGTGTCCTGAAACTAACCCCTTGTGGAGACCAAGGGATGACTACAGAGAAGGGCATCATTTTAGGATTCTTGCTTGATTTGTGTTGGTTTCTCCCTGTTGCTTCCGCCTGCCTCTATATCATTCCTTTATTCAACAAGCATTCCAAAGATCCTTTCTGTGTGCAGTCAACTGTTCCAGATTATAGGGATACAAAGCAGACTCAAACAGGATCCTGTTTTCTGAAGATGGGCTTGTCTATCTCAATTGAGACCCAAGGATAGCATCAATGCCCAGAAAGCTTGAAAAGGATAGTGGAGTTTTTGGTCCCAAAGGGTTCTACCCTCTAGACTTTGAATGCTGTGGACAATCCACCAAAACTAATGTCCAAATATCCAGGAAGTGTTTCATAAGAGAAATACAATACACATGGAAATAAAAAACACATCTGAAATGTATCACTAAGCACAGAGATATGCTTCAAAGGTAGGCTGAAGAAGGCTACCTTAGTCTTGGAGAGTCCCATCATAATCTTCCTTATGTCCCCTGCAACGTGGCACCTGGCTGAGATCCAGTGATAAAGGATTCTTTGATTTCTGGTTCTGGAATTATGGTAAATTAGATAGCATGAATGACCTCCTGGCACAGATAATGAAAAGCCAAATATAATTTAATGAAGATTCTTTTAAATATGTGAAATATGAATTCTAAAATGTAAACTCAGCAGGTACCAGAAATAAAGAGAGTGGAATAGTATATTAAGCGGACTAGCAGAACATAACCAAATTGTCAGCATAGAATTTCAAATACTGATAAATAATCACTAGGGACTAGGTTTGAAATTCAGACATTTTGAGACCAAGATTCTGATTGCTTATCATTCACAGGCATCATTGAAGAAGGGCTACCTCAGGAATAAAAATTTAAACCCCAAAGAAAGTAGAAAGATGCAAAAGAGAATTTAAAATCATGCAGACAAAAGCATTTATAAAAGTATAATAATGGAAAGAAGAAAACAGGTATCAAGGCTTATGATAAGGCTATAGTGAGTGAAGCATAGTGCTACTCATGGACAATCACACAAGTAGGCCACTGGAACAGAACCGGGAGCTCAGGGACAATGTGCACCCACCCATACACACAGGAGCTCAGTACAGCACAACAAAAGCTGAGCTGGGATGCCAAATAAGGAGAGGGACAAGGGACTTGTTAATAAGAGGTGCCAGAACCACTGGGAGAAAAAGATATAGAAAAGATAAAATTAGATCCCTACCTCACACTATTGGCAAAAATATATTGCATATGGTGTATTTTAAATGTAAAATCAAAACTAAATATTTCAGAAAAAAATAAGAGAATATTTTTAACATTGAATTTAATAAACTGTCTTAAATAATAATAAAAGATACTACAAGAAATGATTGATTCATTTGTCTTCGTTTTTAAAGCGACATAAAATATAAGTTCAAAAAACAAATTTAAACAAAAGCCTATATAATCTTTAAAGAATTTGTACCCATTATATCTTAAAAACATCTTCAAGAAAAAAAAATACATATAAAGCCTTAAAAGTCAGTAGGTATATGAAAGAAAATACATTGATGAGTCTAAATTAAGAGAAGGTGACAATGTGATTTAGGGGAAAGAATACAGGCTTTGGAGTCAGGCTGACTTGGAATTAATACCACATTAACTGTGTCTCCGAACTATGATGGAATGGAGCTTCAAAGCCTGAATGACTTTATCAGACAAAATGGAGACCACAACAGTACTTCATCAGATTGTTTGGAGGGAAATTATGACCATTATGATATTATATTCATTTAACAAACACTTTCATAATTCTTACCATGTACCAGGGTCATACGTGCTGCTATTGTTTTCTATTTTAGAGACGAAGAAACCAAGGCACAGGGAGTCTAAGGAATTTATCCAAGTTTATACAATTAGTAAATGGCAGGTCTCAAATTCAAACCAGAGTGTTGACTCGGACCTTGGAGCATGTGCCCTTAACATACTCTCAATATGTGTGCATGTGTGTGCCCATCTATGTACATATACACACACGTATGTATCTATGTATATACTATCAAGACTAGTGCAAGTTTGTAGATTAGAATTTTTTCAATTAAAAGGTTTTGGAGATTTGCTCTATGAAAATGCTATGTATTTTTGATTTGCAAAATGGCTTTTTGAAGTCATTTGGGGGTTTTGCTCTGGCAGTCTGAAATGTTCCTCTTAAGAAATACATACACAGTTGTCTCAAAAAATATTGTTATCAAATTAGAATCAATAAGAGTTGAGTCTGAAAGATCAGATTTTATTTTTCTAAAAAAAGGGAAGTTGGCAATTTACCTTAGTAGTTTAGTGGGAAAAAAAAAATTCCCCTTTTCTTTATTAAAAGCAGAAAGCATACTTTTGAGGGATTTTTTTTTCCAGCTTTCTAAATGAGCTTGTGTGGACAAAAATGCTCAGGAGTACAGACAGTACATATAAAAGGCGATTAGCCATAGAGCAGAGGTGCTATTCAGCCCTCCCTTCCCCATCCCACGGGTCCAGTCTGCTCTCTGGCCTTCACCTCCAGGTCACAAATGTCTTAGTGGTACCTGACTTCCTTTCCATCCCTACCTTCTGCAACCTGGGAAATAATTTGGGGTCTTTGTTCAAACTTTAAGTACAACCTTTACATCAATTGTTAAAGCTCGTAGATATTTGACTTGTAATAGCATTAACTGTGATTTGTAGGATGAATGTCTTTTTTTTTTTTTTTTTTTTTTTTTTGCCTTGTCAAAAAAATTTAGGCAATTTTGAGCTGATGGAGCCTAAATATAGAGATCTACTCTTGACTCTGAGACAAGACTGAAACATGGTTTGTTCGGGGTGTGTGTGTGTGTGTGTGGTGTGTGTGTAGGGAGATGGAGAGGATGTCTTAGAAGGTATAGAACATATCTGGGCCAGCGCCTTCTACTGCTATAAACATGATCCCTCTCCTTTGCACCCAAGATGCCTGGATGCTAGGGATGTTGTGTCCATGCCCGTGAGGTCACATATCTCCTGTGTGCACCTGTCCTGTCAGCATCAGGGCCAGGCTCTGGTCCCCACGCAGCCTTGGAAGGAGCAGTGCCTGGCGAGGACGTTCCCACAGCAAGGCCTCTCCTCTGCAAATAAGACGGGAGGGGCACGGTGGGAAGCCGCGGGCACCCAGGCTTGCTGGAGACGCTAGGGAGCCACAAAGTAAGAAGACAAATCAGATCTCTGATTATTTATAGCTCTTTCTGTGAACAGCTTTCATTCTTCCTAATTACCTTGCAGCACCATAATGAGTATATATGCCGTGCCGTCCAACGTGTCAGGTTAACAGTGTGGGGCATTCTTTCTGTCTACGGTGTAAGCAGGACATGGATGATTGTTTTCTGTCATTTCCCACCCTCTCTCCCTCATGTGTGCGCAAATGGAGGTCAAAAATGGGATATAGCACAGTTGTTAAGAACGTGCATTCTGAGTCAGAAAGGCCTGTGCTTGCATTCTACTCTATGTCTTAATGTGTGACATTCGAAAGTTATTTAACCCACCCTTAGTTTTCTCATCTGCAAAACAAGGAAAATAGTAAGCACCTCAAAACATTATTGGGAGAATTAATAGAGACAATGCAGTCTAAGTGCCTAGCGCATAGTAAGTACCCAATAATAATAGATACTATCAGTAGCAATCATAAGAACTCCTTTTACAGGATTATATGAAACATTCAAAGAAACGATTCCCTGTTTAGCGATAGACCCTGGCATGTTAAAATGGAATGTGATTAAACTATAAACTCATTTAAACCACTGTGTGATTAAAGAAAGAACTGACCAGAATTGGAGGATCAAAAATAAGGAAATATACTGAATTCCTAAAGTTTAAATGTAGTGATTTTGTTAAAGTTACCTAAAGAAGTGACTCACAATGGAGGAGAAGTTTTATCCATGCAAAGACAGAACTGATTCTTAATTTAAGGCAGTTTTAGCATTATGATCGGTACTAATTCATGTTCTCTGGGCAATTGATATTTATTGTACCTTCTCCTTTTTTTTCCTAACCCCATGAAAGATGAGATTTCTAAATAAAGACATGTTCATAGGGACGGAAACAACCAAGAAAACCAAGGGTTAGAATAAATTGCCAATGGAATAAACCAGTTACTTGCATTCACAGATACAGTGTCCTGCAGTTAGACAGAATCCATTATTCATGGGTTAATTTATTGGAACAAAGTTTTGGCACTGCAATTTTCCCTCATAACTGCCCATATGAACCATCGGGCCATGTTTCCTTCCTAAAAATCAGGATGCCAAAAGTAAGACATGGAAGGGACAGGTAAAGGTGAAGCGGATGTTCAACTAACATTTTTGTTTTAAAAGTAGAAAGAACAGAGATTTCTGTAGCTTGTTTGAAAAGCTCAAACTTTCAGCTCTCTGCCAACAACCACAGCTGAAACTGACAAGGCCTGACATCTCCTCTGCTTTTCCTGCTCCCATTTTCTATGAAAATACTGTAGACACTGGATCAGGAAAGACAGTGGAGGCTTAAAATAATCACTCTTTCAATTTGCCCCCTGTTAGTTTCCATAGGAAACAAAAGTGGGAGCTGTAGCCCGCAGCAAGCAACTGTCTTGTTAGAACCCTTCCTTGTCGATTCAGCTGTGGCTGTTGGCTGAAATCTGAAAGTGGCATTTTTCAAAAGGCCCTTTGGCTTCTGAATCTATGGAGTTTTCACTTTGGAAAGCAATAAAAACGAATGGGAAAAAAAGTGAAAATCACTTCCAGCGCCAAGTTTTCATATACCTTAGGATACTATTTTTCATGCAAAGAACTTTTCATTTCTCTACCTAGTAGTTTATGTATGAGAGCTGAAACCCATTTTATAAAAGCGAAAAGATACATCAAAAAATGAAACTGCATCTTTGGAAGGTTATATCCTGGGTCTTGGATGTGTGCTACCTTAACCGTAAACCTTATCGTGTGAAATTGCTTACATAAACATTCCTTTTAGGGAGGGAGCTCAGTTTCCGTTGGAACACTATCCTAGCTTCCTTCATATTTTACAAACACATTCCAAGTTGCTGGACAGGCTTCCACAGAAGAAAGGTAAGGAGAATTTACAGAAAACACAGCCAGCTACAGAATTTAAAATTGTTTTTAAAAAATATATTTATTTAGGAAAGAATATGATTCAAAACTTTATAATGAAACAAGACTCAAGTACTAATTCTTACACAAGTTTAAAAAGAAAGAAGCTTCAGAATCATCCTGTGGAGTGATGCTTTCACTGGGGAGAAAGCATTATATAAGCATGCATCATTATAAATTTCAGTAAAGTGCAGTAGTAATTGCATCTTACATACAAAGTGTTATCAAAAATCTGTAAGGTTTGAAAATATCACGCAAAGGTAACTTTAGCGGATATATCCAGGCTTCTCTGGTATTGTCATCAATCTATAATATGTTCCTTTAAGAGGGGAGAACCCCACTTTATTGGAAGAAGAAGGGTGGAAAAAATATAAGGTGGAAGAGATATACTATACACATTTACCCAATTTAAGTGGAGGGTAATCCCTCAGATA